ACCACACAGAGTCCTCAGAGCTCTGCAGCCAAAAGGAAGGGTCAAAATTAAAGGTGATGGTGCTGCCTTCTCCAGCGGCTGGAGCTCATGGGACCATCTCTGACAGAAGGGCTGTCTGCTCACTCCTGGCCTCACACCAGTTATTAAACCCCTGAATGAACAAATCAGAGGCCTATTTACCAAGTCTGCCCCCTTGATAGCACTATTTGATCAACTGCAGAATTCTTTTTGATAGGTAATTAAAAAGGCTTTTCCTTAGGTATAGGGTGGATTGAACCATTAATTACACTTCAAGGCCCAAGAGATGCAATTCCTTTGCTATTGTGAACTGTCTATAGCAAGCCACGAAAACGCTCTCCTCCATGAAAGAACGGAATAAATGAAAGCAATTTCCTCGAGACCCGGATTTCTCTGTGCTTTATGGCTAAAGACTCGAGTTGCCACGGCATTAATAAGTTTGTTCTTTGGGGCTGAATTTTCTCAATACAAACATCCATGACCGTAACACAAAGAAATATCTTCTGATAGAGCCAGCAGACTGAATCCATATATTAGTATTATTGTTATCACCGAACTGCCACAATGCACTCGGCATCAAGTTGCACAAAAAAAGATCAGTTAAATTAAAGTTCCTCACCAAGCAGCGACAATTTTGTGTAAAAGCCAATTTAGCCATTATGGAAGCTCCAGGATCATATTAACTTTTCTCAAAAGTATGCATAATGCATCACAGCAAGGGATTTTGACAAGTGCGTGTGTGTATGTGTGTCTCAGTGTGTGGACGTGTCCTGCATGTAAAGAAACCCCAGAAGTTATTGAAGTTGCAAAGTCAAGTGGTAGAAAGTTAGAAAATGCCAAATTTACAGGTGCAGCACCTGTTCAATCCAACCCCTTGCTATCCAGCCTGTGCACCAGAAAGAACAGGGGAATTGATGTTATCCTGAGAGACGACGCTTCTGTTTGAAAGCATCTGGTTAGGAGACACTTCCCACTTTTCCAGGATGCTGCACTGTCAAACAAACAGCTTTTGTAAGTTTGGGGGCCTTTCCCCCTAACTTTGACATTCCCTAAGGTTTTGATTTTTTCTATTTTATCTTTGATAAAGCCAAAATGTACTGTCACATGGGGCTGCAGCCCCTCTGCCTTCATGCATGACTGGGAAGGATTGAGTCTGATCCTTTGTTACTGGAGCAGAGGCTTCGATTTTGTGCTACAGCTGGCAGCAGTGGAGGCTGTTATTCCCCCAGAAGGGCAGAGGGATGGCTGTTGCCAGTCTGTTGTAGCAACACATGTCCCAGGCAAACCTGTTCCCTTCCTCTGCTCTCAGTACCCACAGGGGTTTGGGTGGCTGACTCTGGTTCTTCTGCTGGGAAGTGCAGAATCTCCACCAAAATCTCAGCTCTGTTGCTCCAGATCTGCTTTTGACTATTCAGTGAGACGCTGTCCCTTTGACATTCTGGTAAGAAAGGCATGGAAAGAGCCCAGCAGATTCCACAGCATTCCCATGGGCAGGATTCAGGACTATTCTACATCTACATATATTGGGAGAGATAACTGATATAAGTACACGTTCATTTTGAATATGGAAGAACACATATGGAAACTAATCCAACAGTACTTCAACATTAAATAACACTTCTCCCACAGCACCACAGAGCAAGCTCTAGCTCAGCCATGTGCTTCCAAGGAAAAAATAACCTGTTCCTTACAAGAGAAGCTTCTCTTTCTTCCACTGCACAGAGGAAACAGGGTATGTTAGTGAGGGCTAGAAAGTCCTGCTAATACTTTACTGTTGGGAAGAGAGATCAGGACATTAAACATTAAACATCTTGAGCTCTCTGCAACATACAGAGGCTTCTACAGTGGTATAAGCCCTTGAAAAAGTTCAGATACTGATATTATTTATACATGTCTGATAGATATTTAAAAATCTCTGATATCGAGGAGAAGAGGCTGAGACATTTATTACACCACGCCAGGATCAAACAATGATTTTGTAATTATTGTGTGATTTGTAATCACAGCTGAGCTATTTACTGCATTGCTTCTATTTGGCACACAAACACAACGTGCACAAAATCCTCTTGTCTCCCGTACTTCCAGCAATTCCTATCCTAAGGAAAAGGTTCCTGAGCTAAAAGGAGTATCTGCACTGGCAGCAGCAGGTAGGAAAGCAGAACATGATGTGAGAAAAGCATCCTGAGAGCAGGGCTGCCCACCCAGGCCTGAGACTTTGCTGCAGTGGAAGGACATGGAGGTGACTCCAATTTCAGAGCCTTCATGGTCACGCTGGCTGGCTGTACACCTCTGCAGTGTAACACAGTTTTTTAATTTGCTGCGTGGGGATGAAAATATCTCCTGAAAAGCAATTAAACTGCTGAATGTTTATGAGCCTATGCAAGGAGATGGAACAGAAGGCTTATCCTATGAGAATAAGATAGTGGACAACAATAAGGGGGAGATCAAATATAAAATGAATTAAAAGATAATATTTGTGATCAAGCCTGGAATATTGCAAGTCCCACATTTTCATAGTGAAATCATGTTTACTTTAATAAATTGTGCCTATGCAATGCAGACTTGAGTATAAATTCTTCCACTCGATATCTTTTATACCTACTTTTGTGTCCAAATATGGAGATCTGACGATTTCAAATGGAAGCCAGAATGGAGAGAAAGGACAGTCTAGTATTTTGGGAATGCAAATTCAGGTAAGTGTTTTTATTCATAGACTGGCCACAGACTTTGTATGTGGCCTTGGACATTAATTCTAACTTGCTTCCCAATTTAAAAATGAAAAGTTCTGGGAATGACATGAATACAAATCACAAGCTAACTGAGAAAGGCTCAGTGATGCAGAGATGAGACCATTGGGCAATTCAGCATCTGGAGGTTTAGTTCTCTCCAATACACAATTAGAGCAGAGTGCCTGAACCAAACAGTCAATCTCAGCTTTGGTACATGTGCTTCTTATGCTGGGGGCCCCAGAGCTGGATGCAACACTGCAGGTGGGGTCTCATGAGAACGGAGCAGAGGGGCAGAATCCCTCCCTCATCTGCCCACAGCGCTGAGGATGAGCCCAGGACACGTTTGGCTTTCTGGACTGGAGTGCACATTACTGGGTCACTTTGAGCTTCCTGTCAACCAACACCCCGAAGTCCTTCTCTTCAGGGCTGCTCTCAATCCATTAACTGGACAAAACTCTTAATATAACAAGAGCTTCTACCTTCTCCAAACTTTCACTCATATTTCACAGCAAATTCAATCTGAAGGGCTTTCCTGTGACTCGTAAGCATCCAGAGACAAGTGCATCAATTCCAGCATCCAGGTCTGACTAGAACCACCTCAGAAGTGTCAAAACATGACAAGGAAGGCAGTTCTCCCAGCAGCTCAGACAGTTTATCATGTAGCATGGCCTTATGAGATACCCGAAAGGAGCACGTCAAAAAGCTTATCTGAGCGACTCATCAAAGCTCCCAAGTAAAACGGTGGAAGAGTCTAATCTGAAGTGAAACATCACTGCATTGCAAATGCTCTCATGCCTCTGACAGCTGCTGAGCTAGATTTAAGCTCTGCAGCCTTTGCTTTTGTGTTTCCTAGCAGAACACATCTCATTTATCCTCATCCACCTGACCGCAGCAGCTGATAACAGCCCAGGTCAAACCTCACCGCCTTTCATTTGAGGAACTTCACATTGATTTTAAGGGTCTCTGGACCAGATCTGAGGCACAACTCCAATATCTGCATAACTACAGACTACTTTTTCCCCAGCATAATTCCATGATGGATTGTTATGGTACATCAAGAGAGAAGGAGAGATGAGACCACTGAATAAGTCGGTGGACTTGCATCAAAAATGCGACAGCAAGTCAGTGGGTTGGTTTCTCTGTGCCACTTCTGTTATCTAGGTTTTCTTTTCTACAGCAAGTGTTTCAGAAAACAAACGCTGAGTCAATACTTCTGAGATCAGATTAATATGCAGCACAGCTAATGAAATTTGTAGTTAAGCTGAAGTTTTGTTTTTGGCAGCTTGAACTGCCTAAAATCCTAATTCAATTGCAATCTACTCACAGAGCACAGCTGTTTTGCTTGGCTAAACTTTTCTCACCACTTAATAAGATATTTTTTTATTTAACTTTCAGTTCTGCCTAGGAGCCCCAGTGGGTCTTTTAAAACAGAAGATTATTATTAGAAATTAATTAAGTATTCTTTTCAATTCTGTCTCCTGAGAGCAACTAGGCATTGTTGCTGATCTCCTCTGCATTAAGACATTACTGATTGTCATTCATGGGATGACAGTGTGGATGTCTCATCTGGAAGATACATAACTCCATAAATATGAAAGATTTGAAAGATATTTAATACAAAATATAATAAATCAGCACAAATAATAAACATGTAATTGCAATGTCAAGCACAGCACAGGCGTGTGAAGATTATAAACAGCAGAATAAAAATAGACACACATTCCAGAGACAAAAAAAAAATCTCACTGCAATTACAGGACCCCAATGGATTACACTTAGTCTGTGTTTCAGCACATTGCAAACCCCGGCTGAACAATTCTAAGAACATCAAATGTAATTAAAGACAGTTGATTAGATGTGTTGTGGTTTTTTTCTTAAGGAACCAATGACTATAATGTGTTTGTTGCACTTCCCCCTCCCACTGCACATGACTACAAGAAGGACAGACTAAGGCTGCCACCTCTGAAGGCTTTTCCTAAGAGAACCAAACCCAGTAAGCACCAATAGCCTCATGCAGTATTTGATCTGAGGCCTTGAATGTGCATATTAATGCATTACTGACAGAATTAGCTATGCATTTAACATGGCCCTTCATGCCTGAGATGGCTGTTGTTCTGTTTGAGTTTCACTAAACTCGGGGTATCTGTACGACTAACTGGTGTCATACTCTAACCAGGAGGGGATGTGAAGAGAAGAAAGCCATCACAACAATCAACCTCTTAAGTCTCAATAATAATGTGGAATTCAACTTACTTTTTTGGTCTGTAGTCAGGAATGGACCTGTCCAGTGATATCCTGTCACTGAGCTGGGCATTGTAACCATATTCTTCGTACTTAGTCTCTGATTCGTGGCTATCATCTCTGAGGGTAGCAGCCATTCCCCCCTGGCCCAGGCCTCCTGGACCTTCAACTAATCCCATGGGCTTTGCCAGACCTAAATGAAATAGATAAGAAAAAAAAAATCAAATTTTTCATAAAAAGGAAATGGATAGAAACTCTTCTGTGACCACAAAATGTTTTCAGATAAATGAGATCTCAACTCCCACGAAGCTCAGCTCTGAAACCCTCATGGCTCTGTGGAAATTATCCTCAGCTTTTCAAACCAGAGTCCAAATCAACACATCTTGTAGAATCAGTGCATAATGAGCAAACTATAAAGAATTAATTAGCAGCTTTCACGATTTCTTCTTTTTCCAAAATGCCTAATTATTGTTAAGATAATTAAGAAAAAATTTTCCCGTAAGAACTGGAGGATTTCCCAGTATAGCCCATTATAGCTGCACTCATTTTAAGGGAGATATGTTGATTTCTACCACATGTAGATGTGTCATTAACTCCACATTAATGCCAGTTCTGTAACACATGTTGGACCTGAGGCATCTGCTCTGGGACTCTAAGCCCACTGCAGCTCCTGAAGGGTCCAGGTTTGGTTCCCATTTTGGGCACACAGCTATGGGCTGGTGACCAGCTTTGCTGGGTAGGAAACACAGAGTAAATCTGATTCCACTGCACGAGTCAACAGACTGGTCGAGAAGACAAGCAGGAAAGTGCTCATGTCCTGCCTCAAACTGTGCAAGGAGAATCAAAGGAAACAGTCCTGGTGGGCTGAGCTGACCCCCAGCAGGATGGCAGTGCACTTATTCCTGCTTATCAACTTTCTGCTATTGAAAAATCAAATAATGAAAAAAACCACGAGTTACCAGCACAAGACACTAAATCCTGGAGAATCTGGACCTAATGCAATAACTGGAGACAAATCCAAACCACTGCACTGTGTTGAGCTGTTCCTTACTAAGCGTGCTGAGTGTGAACAGGACTCATGACACTGGTTGTCATTCTCTAGTGCACTCCTCACAGGTTCTACCTTCATTATTACAAGCATTGTGATGCCCAATGTTATGATACTTGGGGCATTTAAGAAGGACTGTTTGAATTTTCTGTAAGAAAAGTGGAGAACAAGACAAATCATACTTTCTCTTGAAACATGACTAAAACTCAAGAGTTGCCTTGATTTCAAACCACAAAAATTCTTCTACCTTACTAAGCGAAGCACTTCAATCCACATTCTGGAAATATTTTAAGGAGCTTCATTTTGAAGGAAATTGTAACATTTGTCCTTTTTGTTCTCATTTAGGATGAGAGGCTACTTGGCACTTTGACCAGCTTTAGTATTTAACATTACTTCCTTTGGAAAAATTAGAACAGAAGGGCCTGATGTTGCCATCCCTGGCCTGACAATTATTCCTTGCTCAAGTAATTACAGAAATTACATGTCTGAGACTCTAAATCTCTGCCCACCCTAAAGGAAAAGCACAGCAGCCTAATCTTCCTGCATGATACAGTCTCAGACTGAACAGACACTAACAGCAAGCAGTGATGCTGCAAGCCTCTGCTTTACATGCCCAACATATGGAATCTTAAAGAGGGCTTGGTTTAGGAGGAAAGTCAGCAGTTCCCTCCAAAAAAATCTCAATTTAGGCACTTCTAAAAAATAAATAAATAAAAACCCCCAGAAAACTAGATACTTCACCAAGCCTATGTCCTTGAAAGACCTCAATGTGGAAATTCATTTGCTGATCATTTGGAATCATCTAGGCTGGGTTCTGATGTTACATCAAAGCAAATTGAAGATGACTTCATTAAAGTTAACTGACCTGCTTTGATGAAAGGGTCTCCAAGATGTGGCATGCTCATTTGACTTTAAACAACTATTTAATTCCAGTAGTTGATAACTTTGTTCTTTATACTCTATGCTCTTGCAGCTTATGGAACAAAACACTTGCATCTTTATGGCACAAGTAATGAGAGAATGAAACTTCCAACCCACAGGAAGCATCAGGCACTTTGCTACTTTTCTTATGAGGGAATCAGTTAGACAGCCTGCCAAACCATGTATAATGACTATTATTTCATCTACCTTTTTCCTGATATTCTAGCCCTCCATGCTGCTAATCTGATCTTGTTCTGGGAAGGAGTCATCTCATGTCTCCCTTACTCTCAGAGCATATTTCTGTGAGGTTTTTTCTGCATCTGTTACCCAAATTGTAGCTTAGTCTGACTGACAGCTATTCTAGCAATGCAGTAATATTGGCCAATACACAGCAGCAATTAATGATACCACATTGCTTCACTCTTCAGGAAGAGCAATAAATTGCCTCTAGAAGTTTTTGAGAACAATGAATGTAGTATATTTTATATATGCATTTGTGTGTTAGATGCAGCAATTACAGGCAATGTTCTTCAATGCACAGTTGGTTAGCTAGACACAATAGAACCACATCTCACATATTTGCATAGCATTTTCCATCTCAAAAGTTGATTTGCTGTTGCTTCAGCAAGTGCCTCCTCAAAAGAGGGCTTTTTCCCATCACTACCTAATTCCAGATGGTAACTTGCTAACCTCAAAATCCACTGCACTGGTCAGCCTTCTTGAAAAAACAGGAAATGAGTGCCAGTTCAGCAGCATCTTCCCAAAAACAGGCTGGTATTAAGAGATGGGATCAGAAGACAGGTGATGGGAGAGAGTGTCACCCAGTCTGGCTGAAGCAGAGGCTGCTGCTGCACAGGACACATCCACTCAGCACTTCCAGGCCCTCATCCAAGGGGTGTCCAACAGTCTGGGACCATTTGAGCAGAATGATCTCATCAGAGGCCTTCCAGCATGCCAGACACGGGAACAGCACCTGGGAGGGCACAGAGGAGCAGAGCACTCCACAGCAGTGCTCCCATGGGATGCATGAGTGGGCTGCCAAAGACAGAGAGGTAACAAAGAACAAGTCATTTGTGCCCCTTGCCTTGTGCTGCTCAGCAAAAACCCAGACAGCCTTCAGGGACACCTCACAGGAAAATTTATTCCCCTGGGTCTCGCCTACTGGAACAACAGGGAAAGGGATACATTTCTGGAAATGCTGCTGTTCAGCAGGGAGACAATTGCTATTGATTTTAAATGCTGGGTGTTTAGGTCCTACACTGATGGGGACAGAGGGGGAAGTACTTCTGGTTCAGCTTCCAGCATATTACCTGGGTTTTAGCCAAGGCAGAACAGGTAAGAGCACCTTTCTGTTTTCTTTTTTTGAAGCTTGTTGCAGACTTCCAGATGCTCCTTTCCTCTTTGGGTTACTTACCTACAGCTCTAACTAGTGCCCATTTCACCCGTTTTTCCGTGGCATATGAAGCCAAAGAGGGCAGGGCACAGCAGCACTGCTGCCAGTGGAACCCTGCAGAGCCAGGGATTGAAATCATGGGGGTGGGCAGGAAGGGGATGCCCAGTGAGCTGCTGCTTTTAAAGCTGTCTTTTCTTTAAATTTTTTAGACTAAAAATATCCACAGCCCAAACGCCGGGATTGGTCATAGCCAGTTCAGTGCTGCAGATGACAATGAGGTCACAAACAATTAGAGTCTGTCATTCATCTCAAATTTATTGCTCTCACTGCAGTGATTTCTGTGTAAGACAGAAATTGTTGGGAGAATGAAGAGCAGAATGAACTGGCCTTAGTTCCTTAACCAGATTAATTACTCCACAGGATGCATAATTTTCTAGGAAGAAACGAGATCTTCTCTTTTTCATCATAAACCCTGTCACAATGGGAAAAGTACTAAAGAGATTTATGTGAGAAACTATGGCAAAAGCTAGATCAGATTACATCTGTGATTATTTTACTATTCTTTTTTTTCTTATTTGCAACACAATTACAGGGAGCTGTAAATCAGGTTGAGTCAAGGTTCTCCGACAAAATTAACCTTTCGACAAATCAAACCAAAAATAAGTGATTGAAAATAATCATACAACCACATTCTCAACAGTTTTCCCTTGACTCCTGTAAATACTGCACAAACTATGGTAAATGAAGAAATGATCATAACTAAAGAGTGGCTCTCTGCAATTATTCCTTGGAGAACAGAAAAAACGTGTTGCCTCACAGGCATAAATTTGCTGAGTGCATTAGCAGTTCGGTGCACCAACATTAAACCTGGGGAAGTATTTTACTTTTTTATTTTACTTTACCTTTTTACTTTACTTTATTTTACTGCATTTTGCAGTTGCAAGCAGGAAAAAAACGCCAAACTTATTTGAAACTATTTCACTTTGCAAACAGCAGCATGCAGCACAAGGAGCTGGTAGTGTTTAGCTTATGATTCAATCTAAATGTTAAACAGAGCCTGGCCCTTAATTTCTGCATATCCTAACTTTCCATATCCCAACTCAGTTTCTCCCACCATGACCCTGAAGTAAGGCTACACAGTAGGTAAGATTTGCTGCTCGGAGAACTGATCTGAATTTTGCCCATATCAAAGGTGCTTACTTTCTGAGCTGGAAGGAATGCTGTCTGTGGAGGAGATTTAGTTTTACATACAGAAATATCCAGGAAATCCCATAGGGATACAAGCTCCAACTTTCTGCAAAGAGAAGAGCAACAAACGAAACCTGGTCCAATGTAAATGACTCCAGCACTTCCATTTATCTGAAATCCAAAATGCAGTCTTATTTTTATATAGTTGTAGACCAGTTTGATGCATCTTTGCTTGAAAGGTTTATGGCCCCTGGTACCCAGTCTCAGCCCCAAGTATCTCTGCAGATACACCAGGGAGAAGACAAACAGCACCCTGTGGCTGATGTGAAAAGGAAAAAACTACAACAACTTGTAAAGCTGAAGCACCTGATGTGCAACTTTTTGGCTCTATAAACTAGAAGGTGTTTTTGTGCCTTGACCTCATCTCCGGACCCCAAATAAAAAGCCTGAGAAAGTACTTCTCAGTCTTCATGCCCAGACGAGCAGCAATCCTGTGAGGAGACTGCTGAATGCTGGTGAAGGGATGAAGGGATTTGGCAGCTCTGCCTGTAGGAGGGCTGCTCCTTTTTCACCCCCACAAGCCAGTCAGGCAAAGAGACTGCAGAATCAAGAGCCTTGGAAATTAAGTAGATCAGGACAAATT